AGAGAGAGAGAGAGAGAGCGAAAGTTTGTGTGTGAGGGGGGTGGGGGTGGGAGGGGTGTGTTTGTTTTGTGTGTGTATGTGTGTGTGCGCGCGTGTGTTTTGGCCACGTTAGAGGAGCTGTTCTGATTGTATCAGTCGAAAAGCACATAACGATTAACCCATTCGGCATCTCATGTGTGTAGGCCCTACCTAAAATGTTTTGCAAAAGCATGTCGCGTCGAGTGGGTTGAAGAGAAAGTGGGCCTGGCTTGGCCAAGCATGAGGTCCCTCAGACTATTTTATCTATTTTTATATGGAGAAGTAATAGTAGTGTGAAAAACGAGAATCCCTTCCCTGTCTACACCTTGGTCTGGAGCTGCGAGGGTGTGCAAATTATGTTAATCTAGACCTAGTCTCCACGACAAGTAATGCGTGGATGCAGCTACAGCCCAAGCATGTGAACCAGCAGTCCGTTTCAGCCAAAGACCTTCAGTCTTAATGATTACCCTGTCACTAAAAATATCAGCAACCTGCTGACAGAAAATGATTTAAAACAACTCGTACAAGTACCAACACATAAAAGTCAGCACATCCTAGACTGGGTTATCTCTCCTATTGAAAAGAACTGTGTGATTGGCATAAACGTTCTGGACAAAGAAATTTCCGATCATTATCTTCTTATTGTTGACTTGAACATCAAAAGACCAAGGAAAGAAATAAAAACAGTTAATTCCCGAAATCTGAACGATATAAATTTACACCAGTTTCAATGTGACATTCGTGATGCTCTTGCTATTAGATCTAGTTCCCCTTTTAATATAGAAACCCTCAAGACCATCATGAGGAATATTTTAGATGATCATGCTCCAGTTAAAAAACGAAAATTATCTCATCGACCTGTTGGTAGGTGGTTTAATTTAGAAATAAAGGCTGCAAAAAAGAAAAAAGGCAAGGGGAAACAAAATGGAGAAAAACACGACTTGAAGTGCACAAGGGAATATTTATTACAATAAAGAATTCTGTTAGTAAAATGATTACCAAAGCCAAGCGTACTTTCTTTTTGTCAAAATTTGAAAATGTTAAAACTTGTAAGGAACTTTTTGATGTCTCTAGTGAA